TGGCAGAGAATGTCACATGGCATTAAGTCCACCCTATATACCCTTTAGTTTAAGGTGTTACATGTAAATTTTTAAATAAATAAATCAGTGTTCTTTATTATTAATCATTCAATATTCATTTCAATATTAATTTCAATAATTGCAATAGTATGTATTTAAGTACATTATATACATACTATTGCAATTATAATATTAGTTTAACTTTGTTATGTTGTGACTACGAATATATAACAGTTTATAGGTATTATAATATGCGCACCACATTGTCTATACTAGTACCTTTGTACAATTTTATAGTCACAAGATATGTTAGTACCTAAGTATTATTGTCCATCACATCACATAATTTTTTTATAATCCACATAATACACAAAATTTACTTAGAAAACTATACGTGTTATAATATTTTTAAAAAGCGCAACAAGTTTTTAAGAACATAGTTCACAGACGTACCTATAATCATCTTAATAATAATATGTTCTAAACGAAACGCTTACGCGAGAGCCGGTCGTTGTGTGTGTCAACTGCGTACGTAAAGTAATCGTCACATTTTTGTCCACGAAACTGGGTATACGATTATCAGGCTCGTAAGCAGTTTCGGAAACCGATTACGTTAAACGTAACCGTAACCGTAACGCTCACCTCTAGGCCTGTCTCGTGGTGTCTCGATGAGCGTATACAGCCGGCATTATACGTAGAGCAACGCTGCAGCTATATTAATTGTTGCGTGAATGGATCGGCTCACCCGAAGCAGGACCACGATCTTACAAAATACAAGCATCAAAAAGCAGCTTAAGGTCTTTTTTACTGGAAACGGTGACAACGCATCTGCATGTTGATTACACTGGTCGGCTAAAAAAAAAAAATAAAAATCCGGGAGCAAAAAGTTTACTATGTGATTTCTATTGGCTTTGATTTGTTGAGTCCGAATCTGTTTAAAGATTTCAACTATCACCTCTAGCTTTTCAGATATTTACATTTAAATAAAATATCGGTATTGATATATATATATATATATATATATATATATATATATATATATATATATATATATATATATATATATATAGATCTCTTTACGGTAAATGTTGATCAGACGCGACTTCACGCGAGCACTTTGTTGATCCGAAAACGCATGTTGATCCGGCGCCTTTTGTTGATCCAATATGCATCTCTGGTAACTAATGTGGCTCCAACCGGATCAACATCTGCACTCATGAGACTGTTTGCTAGCGTTTGCCGAAGTTGATCCGATATACAAATCCACCTTGCGATGGTTACGGAAAATGTTGATCCGATTTAAATGAGCCAATCAGAGCACAGCAAACGATAAGATAAACGATCGGATAGGCTGAATGCAGCCGCGACGTTGCCGTTTCGTTTCTTTGGCGGTACAAGCTACAGATTAAATGCGTGTTCAATACAATAATGCATTCAGGGTGCTGTTGGGTCTGCCTCGTTATTGTAAAGCGCCGAGTATGTTTGCGGATGTGGATTGTTTCTACATCACCATGCGTAAACGATGCACATCCCTGGTGCGCGGGGTGCGGGCCAGTTCCAATGGTATTCTGAGGGCATTTTCTGATAGGTTTAAGGTCAGTACGTGAACAATTTTCATATGGTGCACGTGCTGAATAATGAGGCCTGTCTTAAACATAGTTTTAAAATTAGGTAAATAGTTCTAAGTTTTACTAAAATTAGTTTTAAGATTTGTATTATTACTAACATCTATGATCCTTGTGGTCGAAATAAACGAATTTTTATTAACGAATAACTCGACAACGCCCCTTCTTGTAGCGGAAGTGGTGGCAACGGTGACATAAGGTATTCGTCTGAGTCCGAGTTTGTGTGTGTGTGTGTGTGTGTGTGTGTGTGTGTGTGTGTGTGTGTGTGTGTGTGTGTGTGTGTGTGCGGGTATGAGCGTGCGTGTGGGTGTATGTGCATTCATGTGTGTTCGTGTGAACGCATGTGCGTGCGCATGTGCGCACTGTTGTGTTTTTTGAGTACGTGTGTATGCGCCAGTGTGCGTGTGTTTGTGCGGTAGTCTGCGCGCGCGCGCGTGTGTGTGTGTGTGTGTGTGTGTGTGTATGTATGCGTGTGCGTATGTGCGCGCGCGCCCGTCTGTGTGTGTGTGTGTGTGTTTGTGTGTGTGCATATGAGTGCGTGTGCGTATGTGTACGTGTATGTGTGTATGTGAATGCGTGTGCGTGTGCGCATGTGTGCATGTGCGCGCGCGCGCGTTTGTATGTGTGTTTGTGTGTGAATGCGTGTACGTGTGCGCATGTATGCATGTGTAAGTGTGTGCATGTGTGCGTGTGTGCACTGTTGTGTTTGTGTGTGTGCGTGTGTGCGGCAGAGTGCGTGTGTGAGTGTGTGTGTGATGCGTTTGTGCGTGTGCGCATGTGTGCATGTTTGCGCGCGCGCTTGCGTGTTTTTGTATGTGTGTGTGTTTACCATAAACCAGATAACATGTTTTCTACATCTTCATAATCAAGATTTTTAAGGACGCGTTTACAAAATTGATAGGTATAGAATCGAACTATTACATGAGATATTATCATGAGACCTTACCTCTTGATGGATTGATCTCAAAATGTATTTCGGGATTACTACTGGAACTCCCGGACTAGTAGAACTGGGTGTGCTGAGTTTGGGCTTGTTTTGTTAGTTATGATGAGTCCTTACCTCCGGACTTGCTGAAGTGACCTGAAGGTGTACTTCGGCAACTAATACTGTAAGACCTGGACTAGTAGAACTAGGTATACCGAGTTTGGGTTTGTTTTGTTAGTTATAATGAAACCGTCACAAAACAAAAGTTCTTTTCACTTTGTCTCTAGTACCAATAGGTATCCAAGCTGATATTCGGAAAAATAAATAACCTCGTAGTAACATCTTTATGTGCAGTATCGATATCCACTTTCCAGCCACACTGTTTTTCACTGTAACCAACTGTCCTTAATGTGAGCCTCACTTGCCCTCACGTGGTACCCACTTTACTGTACTCCAGTACACCCACCACCACCTCTGCCACCTACGCCTCCACATCTACCACCGCACCCTTCTCTAAGCCTTCGTTCTCCACCTCCGCTACCACCGCTTCCACCATAAATTCTGCTCCCACCGCCTCAACAATAAACTCCGCCGCCACCACCACGCGCCGTCACTAATCTTTCCGCCTCCAACACAATCTAAGGTCGACCCACTTCTGACCCCACTCTCCCCGTTTCCACTATCTCCGACTCCACCACAAATTCCTCTTCTCCGCCTTCACCACAAATTAAGCTGCATTCACCTCCGCCTCCACGTCTCCATTCTCCGCCTCCGTTTTCTGCGCGCACACACACACACACACACACACACACACACACACACACACACACACACACACACACACACATACACACACAGACACTCAGACGATCACACACGCACGCACACACACCCGCACGCACGCTCACGCACGTGCATACACACACGCGCAATCTCGCGCACCCACATAAACACACGCACACATACGCACACCTACACACACACACACACACACACACACACACACACACACACACAGACACTCAGACGATCACACACGCACGCACACACACCCGCACGCACGCTCACGCACGCGCATACACACACGCGCACTCTCGCGCACTCACATAAACACACGCACACACACGCACACCTACACACACACACACACACACACACACACACACACACGCGCACACACACATACAAACACGCGCGCGCACGAACAAACATACATACACGCACAAGCACACCACACAACAAAAGCAAACACACGCACAACTACACACACGCACGAACAACAGTTAACACACGCACACACACACTCACACACATACACACAAGCACGCGCGCGCGCGTACACATACTAACACCGACATACACCCACAAGCATGCACACGTAAGCACACACACACATGCGCGCGCGCGGGCGCGCGGGCACGCGCTCTCAAACACAAGCAGACAACCGCACAAACACACGCACACTGCTGCACACACACGTACTCAAAAAATCACAACAATGCACACACGCGCACACATACACTCACGCACATGCGTTTACACGAACACACATGAACGCACATACACACACACACACACAGGCGCGCGCGCGCGGGCGCATATAAACGCGCGCGCACGAAATGGCACCCCCCACCCTTACACACACACACACACACACACACACACACACACACACACACACACACACATACTTGAGTCATAAATTAATTTGTAATAAAGTACTATCCATCATCTTCTTATTGATCTATGAAAAATTAATAAAATAACACAAATTCACTCACACAATAACAAAAACTCGAACAAACGTCTTTCCACAATAAAATCTGTCAAAGTTTGATCCTTTTATTACTATAACGAAGTGGCCTACTGGGCTCTCTGTCACACACAGAACGCGACGTTGCCGCTTCGTGTTCGAGTACCTATTCGTCAATTATGGGCTCCGGATCCACTTAGTCTAAGTAAATGTCGCATATAAATTAAATATACTCTGGATCTAAAAAATCATATTCAGTATGATATTTTCAACCGTTGATAGATCAACAAATGTTGGTCAAATCGCTGACGAGTATATTGAAATCCTGTTAATGCAGATCCACCGACGTCACACGCGCATCAAGAATGGATCAAAGTATATCAGTTTGTGCGACGAGGAGCTGAGCAAACACGTCAAATAGGTGGATCAACAATTGTTCTAACTTCTCACTGGATCAACATTTACCGTGAAAGGATGATTATATATATATATATATATATATATATATATATATATATATATATATATATATATATATATATATATATATATAAATATATAGGTATTGATATATATATATTAAATATGTATATATTTTAGAACGAAAAAATTTACACTGATTGATGACTTTTACACACACAAATTAAAATGAAATATGAATTAAAAAATATAAAAAAAAAAAACATAAAAATGATAACTATTTGGTAGATCGCTTTCTTTTATACATTTTAACTGCTGTTTCTCGATTTATTTCCCAGCAAAAATCAGCTAGCATTGCTGGGGTCCACTTGCCGCTGTATCTTTTTTCCATATGTGCAATGTCTTGGTGGAATCTTTCACCATGCTCATCAGACATGGCACCAAGATTTTCTGGGAACAAATCTAAATGCGAATGCAAGAAGTGAATTTTTAAAGACATATTGTATCCAAGTTGATGATACGACGAAAGCAGTTCTTCTATCAGCTCACGTACGTCGCTCACTTGTTCAAAACAATCACTGCGTTCGCGCTTCGCGCATGTCAGTTAGTTAGAGCAGTAAACAATAGCTTGTTGTTTCTTTCTAACATAGAGACAGACTCAGAACACAACTAAATACATGTACATACCAATGTTCACAAATACCGCTGCCTGCAACTATAAGCAAACAATTCTAGTGCAAACAAAAAATGCTATTGCGTCGAAATTAGACGTGCTAGGTGAATTCTATCTACATATTTGGATTTAACGTAACTAACGTAATAACTTCCATATATACATTTTTTTGCTCTTATTTTGATGCCGACCAGTGTTATTAATCGAGGATAGATGAAGTGTCTATAAGCCACAACATCCACTTACCATCAGGTGTACTGTGATCGTTTGTCACCCTCATTCCATAAAAAATAAGTAACGACAACTTTGGATACGTTCATAAATATTTATTTATTGTGTACACATTGTTTACCAAGTACGACCAGTTATTTTGCGTCCGACAACAACAATAAAAATACCGCAGCCAGTTTAGGAACTTTATCTCTAGTTCGGACTGATTTAAGAGGTTTTTGGATCGATTCATCGGGTCGATATAGTGTTCCAAATTTTTCGATTAATCGATTTCAGATCGACCTGCTTAGTCTGTGGCATAGATTACTGACTATGTACTAGGTCTGTGGTTAATGAATCTATGGGTTAATGGTTATTTACTTTAATACTTTTGATTGTAGCTAAAATAAAAATTTATAACTAATATATTTGTTTGCACAAGGAAATAAATATCGTCTCATCGATGCAAAAGTGTTTAACAGAATATGGATATTATCATGCAGTTTGACCAAATATTAATATTCCAAATAACGTATGTACTATTTTTTATTTTTTTTATGGTAAAATTCGCCAATAAAACTGATGAGTTTAGGTTAATTAATTATATAATATATATGTTACTAAAGAGTGCTTTTCCACCTAGGATTTGTGAAATTCATTATTAAGTATGTTGAATTACCTAAAAACAAAGTCAAACAGGTCTTAGAACCTTATTAGTACCTATGTGTACAAGTGATAAAATATTAAGTTTATGTTATTAGTAAAATCTAAATTTAATAATAGATAGAATAAAAACACAACAGAAGCTTTTGTGTATGCTAAAAGACTATCTTTAGGTCGAGTGATCTAGGGTAGCTTCTCTATTCGATGCAGCTTCATTTGCTTTCAAGAGCGATTATTGTCAATATTGTTGATGTAATCAATAATTACTGCTTCTTTATTTGTTCAAATGGAGCTTATAATGCTGTTAATTTATAATTTCTTTTTTATTTAACACACAGGCTGAGATAACAAAATGCTGACAGAAATGTGGAAATATAGTTTATTGTCATTGAAAGCAGTCTTATCTCATATACCTTATTATTAGAAATGTCCTTTTGAAACTTTTGGCTTTATACTGTTTAAATGTAAATCATAAATGTAAATCAATACATACATAAGCAAAGTCCCACAAGCTATTTAGATTGCAATTAATATAGAAAAAATATTGTATTAAATAAGAATTGTTATTTAGTTAAGACATCATTACAATTATTCATTAACTTCTTTTCAGGTGGATCACTTAGAACAAATCTGTATTCCTTCCAGGCTGAAAGCTATCAAATTTGTCCGTAGACATAAGCAAAAAAATTTATGGTTATTGAAGACAACAGTCATATCATATCTCTTATCACTGATAATGCCCTACTGATTCTTACCAATTTCATAAATGGACATTTTACCATCAAGTTATTTTGAAAACATCTTTGAAATGATGATGATTGAAAATCTATCTATATAAAACACAAAAATGTTTCTACCTATGTCCGTTATAGACTTTGAAACCATCCAATCAATTTTGATGGAAATTTTTGTGTATGTTTGAATGGATCCCATGGTTTATATTTACATTTCGAACCAGTAGATGGCGCTGTTGTCGAGTCCATAAATCACCAGTGGGAAGCTGGGGCAGAACGTTAGTAATAAATACAATTAAATTGTATTTGTGTTTTTATAATCCTTACACAAACAGTCCAGTGCGTGTTGACAGTGATGACTTACGGATCTGAGACATGGTCCTTCACTGCTGGCCATATGAGGATGCTCAAGGTCGTTCAGCGAGCTATAGAGAGGACTATGCTTGGAGTTTCTCTGTGTAATATACTCAGAAATGAGCATATCCGCAGTAAAACCAGAGTGACCGACATAGCTCAATGGATTAGTAAGCTGAGGTGGCAATGGGCCGGCCATATAGCTCGAAGAACCGATAACCGGTGGGGAAGAAAGGTTCTGGAGTGGCAGCCTCGTACCGGTAGGCATAGTGTAGGGCGACTCCCCACTAGATGGAGTGACGACATGGTAAGACATGCGGGAAGTCGATGGATGCAGGTGGCTCAGGACCGTGCTTTGTGGCATTACTTGGGGGAGGCCTATGTTCAGCAGTGGACTTGTGAAGGGCTGTAATGATGATGATGATGATGACACAAACAGTTTGTAATAACAGATAAGCACGAAATTACATGATTAGCATGATATATTATTATAATTACATAATATATTATTAATAACTCTTGTTGTAAGGTTATTACTACCAAGTTATTTCTTATTCGTTCTGTGTTGTTAATTGTAACATACATGATTGTATGCTGTTATTTAAAAAATAGTCCCGATGGACTTCTTGCTGGTTCCTCCCAATACAGAGGTTTTGGCCAAACAAGTGCAATAGTAAATTAAAAAAAGTGACTCAATAAGTATTATTTATAATCCATATTGAATAAAAAGTTTCTGTTTCTACACCACTATTAATAGATTACTTTAGAAGTTATGATTTACAACAATAAATAGAGTTAAATTATATTTTACTTTTCTAATACAACCACTTTAAAACATATTTCTTACCGTTTGTTGGTAATGTTATAAATATAAATGGAAACATTATCTCTTAATCATATTGGTTGAATATACCTCAAACTTTGTTTTACATGTACTATAATTTTTAACAGTGCTCAATTTTGACTTGTAATACTGAAAATTTCTAGAAAATTGCTTTCAGTTTGTTTTTAGGTAATTGTTAAATTCATATTTTAATTGTTAATTTCTCAATACTGTGTATAGATGCAGTTAATCTAATAATACTATTTGAATACTATATATTTAAATTATAAGGACTTTTTTGTTGACTTCGAAAACAAAGGAAGTAATTATGAAAATGTAACTTTTTGTGTGTAGTGTAAATGTAGTAGCAAGACATTTCCAAAAATAAGTTGCCCATAGATAAACATCCAGATTCATGCAATTATTTGTAAACAAGCTTTGTAACAAGCCTTGACTTCATATCTGACTTCAAAAACCAAAAATACTAAAATAATTTTTAAGCTATTGCATAGCTTCTATCGCGGGCCTTGAGCGCGGGGACCGAATCCAGAAATTCCGTAACGAAAAAAAACCTCACGCTGCCCACTCCGACGGGCACGGAGGTGTGGCGTTGAAAGCCGTGCATCGTCTAACGTCGTTTTAGTTCGGCAGACTTCGGCACTCGGCAGAGTTCGGCACGGTATTTGTGTGCGTGCGACTAGACGTATGCGTGTACACTAGCTGCTAACTGAATGATAAAAATTCCTGAATAACCTACATGTATTGTAAGATATTAAAAATATTTTAAACAATATTAACTTCTCATTTATTCAATAAGAGAAAAAAAATTGTTTTCTTATCGGTCACCACGCTCAAAAAGTGTAACTTGATTTAATATCAAAGACTTAACTGCATAAATAAAATAAATAAATAATTATAATTGCATAAGTTGATAAAATGCTAGCTATTTGTCGAGCTATGCTATGCTATGCCCATCCATTTAGCATCAGGTGGACTGTGTGCTCGCTTGTCACCCATTTCGTATATAAAAAAACATAATAGCTTCGGTATACTATCTCTTACCACCCATGGACTTCCATGGGTGGTAAGTGATAGTATATCGAAGAAAAAAGGCTCTGAAAAGTTCAAGGTAAGGACATGAATGTCGTCTAAATATTTAATACAATATAAACTTCATACTTTATTTTTTCCAGACTAATGACCAAATTCTCAATCACTACTCAATTTTAAGATGTCGTAAAAATCTTGTGGTGTCACAGGCACTTTGGATTAAAGTGAAGATATTCTGGCATAAGCGTATATTTTTTCCTAATTTACATGCACTCTTGAGCACTCCTGAAATATAACCATTTTACCAGGGTAGTCTGAAAAGTTTCCGACCTCAACGTGAAGATGACAGTACTCCTCAATAAAAGATGTAGTGGTGAATCTTTTGACAGTTACACACCAAAATTTTAGCCAATTTCGATGCGTAGTTGTTATTTAACAGTCATTTGAATGAGTCTATGTGATTGTTTTTGTGTAAATGGAAAAAATTGTGCATCGAGCTATCATTATTTATTTTTATTTACCACAGTGAAATTTTGCGCAGCTAAATTTAAACGTGGCCATGAGAACTTGGGAGACGATGAAAGTTCGGGATGTCCACAAACTGTCGCTACTTATGATAACATCATTAAAGTTCACCAAATGGTGCTAGTCGATCACAAACTTAAATTGAGGGAGATAGTAGAAGCAATGACAATGTCCAAAGAATGTGTTTATCACATATTAAATCAAGATTTAGACATGAGAAAGCTTTCAGTCCGTTGGGTACCGCGTTTGCTTACGTTAAACTAAAAACAAAAATATACTCAAAACAGTGGACTGCAAAGGGGTACCAGCTTCAAAAAAAGCGAATACTGTGTTAAGTGATGGCGACGGTTTTTTTGGACAGTCTTGGAGCTATCTTAATGGATGATCCTCATAAAGGAAAACCATTAGAGGAGCATACGCATTGACAAAC